TAAAAAACCCCCCCCCCCCCCCCCCCCCCCTTTTTTTTTTTCTTCTTTTCTTTTCTTTTTCCTTTCCCCCCCTGGGTTTGAATGGGTGATTTGCAGGTGCCAGCCTGGCTGTGCAGTTCAGTACAGTCTTCTGGTGAAGGAAGAGCCTTTTAACCATAACTGTTTGCCATCGTACACGCAGGGAGAGGTGGTTTAGAACTAATCTGTTCAGGCTGTGCCTGCCTGTGATGTTCCATAAGGGATTTCTCTGTTCGTTCCGGCATCGTCTACTGGCTGCAGGTAACACTAACCGTGGGAGCCTTCTCCATCCACGAGCTCTTCCTATCGCACCAGGACGAGTTGCTGCTGTCCCCGCTGACCTGGGTGTTTCAGGTTCAGGTCCTTCTTGTGTTAGAGCTGTTTGGGGGCACCTCACGGTGCTTTGTAGGGCCTGATTTCAGAGCAGGCAGGCAGACCCGCTCCTACCTGCCAAACCAGGCAGGAGCAGGCAGCCAGCGGATGTGGCATCTGCTTCCCCATCCTCTCCCGAAGCGCAGCACTGAGACCCAGGGAGGGGGGCAGAGATTCAAAGGATCGAAAACTGTTGAGCTTCCTCACTCTTTAAATAAGAAACTTTGCATTTGTGCAGGTTGGACTGAAACACAATGGTCAAAAAAAGGGACTCAATTTCTCTGTAAATAATTAACAGAATACAGTATTAATGTCTCAATGCTGAGCTTCATTAGCTTCTAGATTCAATATGCGTGTTCTGGCACCCTTCACGCTGCAGTCAGGGGGTTTTTTTGACTTCCAGAATAGTGCTAAAAATAATTAACCTATCATTACTTAACAAGCATAAACAGACTGTATTTAACTTTGTCACATAAGATATATATATAAATATATATATATGCTGTAAAATGAGGGGGAAAAAACCTTTCTAATAAACCAATGATTTGTGGAAAAAATGTGTGGTTGTGTGAGATGACTTGGAGCTGCTGCATCTGGTTGCAATGTAGCCTAGGGCTTTTTCCTAAAATAACAGTATTAGATGCTTGGTTTATCGAGTAAGACTACTTTTAATTGGAATACTTCGCTCGGAAGATACTGAGCTGGGTACAGAGAGGTTTTGGGTTTTTTTCTTTTTTTTAAAGGACATTATTTTGGGTAGGAGCCCGCAATGCAAGTGGGTTCTGCAAGTTCTCTCCTGGCGCGATCCACCTGCCTGGTCAAAACTGTGAAAGGTGAAACTAGGCAAGAAAGGGTGATTGTCAGTACTTTGGTGGCTGGATTGGCAGCGTGCCCAGGTGCTGAGCATCCCGGCCACCCAACCTTCCTGCTCCATGCTCTCCTTGCGTGCTGTTCCTGCAGCCAGCCGCGGCAGTTGGGACGTCAGGGTGCTGCAATCAGTCTCCCTGCCGCACTCGGGGCAGCGGTGGCAGAGCGAGCCTGCGCGCTGTGGGTCAGTGCGGATCTGTAGCGGCTCAGACCAAAGGTCTGTCCACCCCTGGGTTCTTCTCTAACGGCAGCCAGAAGCAGGGATGATGCCGCCTCTCCACGCTCCCCCAGCAGCAGCAGTTCATGATGTGAGCTCCTCGCATCTTTTTTTCCATCTCCCTCCTCAGCAACTCCTGACCTGGGCTGCAACGATGTCCCTGCGCTGGCTTCTGCTGGGAGGTGGCACTAACTCCTAGCCGAAGGCAGAGTGGGCAGCAGGGCCACCGCCACTGTTGTCTCTGAAGCCGATGGCTGAGCAGCGTCTGGCTTCTCTGGGTCTGTGTCACGGGGGATTGCCTGCCATGTCCCTCTCAATCCCTGGGGCTTTAGCTGCTTTGGTGGTCGTGCCCTGCTTTTTCAAGCTTGAATGAGTGCCCAAGGAGGCGAGTGCTCGGGGTGAGGAGCACCAGCCTCTCCTTTCTTAACTAAAGGTCCTGATTTGGTTAAAGGATGGTTGGCGTACGGGATGCAACCTGCCTTTGCCTGGGCTGTCCTCTGGAAGTGGAATGACAGTGTGGAAGTGTTGCAAAACCCAGGAAATTAAGTAATTTAATGGGGGAAAGAAGTAAAGAGTTGCCTTAAAGCATTCTGGTGTAGGTTTCAGCTGGGTTTGGATGCTTGCTGCTGCCAGCCTGGGAAGAGACCTCCTGAAGAGGAGCGGCTGCCACTTAGTGCAGACCCTGTCCTCAGCGTGCTCCTCTCCCAGGGACATGGAGCTGAGCCAGGCTCAGCTAAACCCTTCCCAATCTTCAGAGCCCGAAGCTGGGGCTCAGCCCCAGCTTTGGGCAAATCCCACTGGTTTCTGATCGCAGCTACTCCACGGCAGCCAACAGGCTGGTGCAGACCTGGTGCTGGGGGCTGAGTTTCTTCTTGGGGGCCAAGGTGCTGCTTGGGCACTGCTGGGACCACCCTGTGCCCCCCTGGGGAGCCCAGGACCCCAAGACCCCCCATGGTCCCTGCCTCACTTCCCACCTGCAGCTGTAGAGCAGATTAAAAGGATGAAAACCCCATTTCTGCATGGAGGGCTGGCTTGCAGTGAAGTGCTCCGGTGCCTCTCCCTGCCACCGGCTCCGGGTGGGCAAGAGGAGCCCCCAGCAGCTTGAGTGGCCTTAATCGAGCGCGTTTAAATTAACTCTGCAAGTGGGTTAAGCCGAAGGGGACATGTGGGTTTGGCCGAGCGGCTCTCTCAGCCGTCACTGCAGGGCTGGGCCCCAGCAGCTGCTGGAGACCCGACTTGGCATGCCGGGGTGCCTTTTCCTCCGCCGAGGACAAGGAGCCCCCTTGTTCCCTTGGCTGCGAGTTGTCCCCCCACCCTGGCACCCGTCCCCTCGCCCTGGCACCCGTCCCTTCGCCGGAGCCGTTTCCCTGCGAAGCGCTGGAGCTCGGCGGCTGGGCTGCCCCGGCCCTGCTCTCTCCCCTGGGTTAGGGTTTTGGGGTGTCCCTGCCCTGGGGAAGGGGAGACGGTTTAGTGGCGATGCCCAATGCCGGTGGGGCGAAAGTGGGGAGCCAGGCGTCCCCCACCCCATGTCTGCTCCATCCAGCTACGGAGGTGACCTCGGGGGACGATGGACGGGGCCCCTGCACCCCATGGCCCCCCCTTCCTCCCCACTGCGTTTCCGCTGGCCGGGCTGCGACCGCCTGCACCCCGAGATAGGCATCCTGCGGCATGGGCGGAGGGCTGCATTTGGCCCTGGCCTCCGGCGGAAGGAGGGTGGTGGGTGCAGGCTGTTGAGCCGCTTCCCGCCATGGCCGTGTCCCCCCCCCAACCCTTCACCGTGTCCCCCCGGGTGGTACTGCCACCTCCTGCCCCCTGCCCTGCTCTGCCAGCCGGGCTGAGCACCCCTGTCCCCTGGCCAAAAGCAGTGTGTGTGTCCCCTGCACCCCCGTACCCCTTTGGCTCCCTGGCAGGAGCGGCTGTGCATGTGGGGGGGGCCCTTCCTGTGTCCCCCATCGCTGCCGTCCCCATTCCCAGCTGCGTCCCCTGAGATAAGCAGGGACAAGCTGGGACGGGCTGGGACGGGGCTGCTGGCTGCATTTCGGGGAGAAGATGGGGGCTGCTGCTGCCCTGCTCCGGGCCCTGCTGCTCCTCGGGGGGCTGCGCTCAGCCCCCACCCTGGGGCTCCTCCGGGACCCCCCACACACCTATGAGGGACCCCCGGACAGCTATTTCGGCTTCGCCCTGGATTTCCACATGACTGAGGGCAGGTAGGGAGACTCCGAGGTGCCGGGGCGGGGGATGGCATCCATTCCCCCCACCCTGACACCCAGCTCTGCCCACCCCAGGCTCAGCGTGGTGGTGGGGGCACCCCGCGCCAACACCTCCCAGCCTGGCGTGGCTCAGCCCGGCGCCGTCTTCCTCTGCTCCTGGCCCATCAACGAGACCCTCTGCCACCCCCTCCCCATGGACACTGCGGGTGCGTGGGTGCGACGGGATGATGGGTGGGTGCAGCGGGGGCTGCCAGCCCAGCACGCTCCCCCTCTCCCACTCCCCCAGGGGATGAGACCGAGACCCAAAACACCTTGAAGCTCCACACCTACAAGTCGTACCAGTGGCTGGGGGCGTCCGTGACCAGCTGGGACGGCAAACTGGTGGTGGGTGCACCCGGCGGGTGGGTGGGCACCCTTGGGGGGTGGGGGTGGTGATGGGGTGGGCACCCACCCTTTTCCCATCGCCGTTCCCATGCCCGTTCCCATCCCCATCCCCTTCCCCTTCCCCTTCCCCAGGCCTGTGCCCCACTGCAGCACTGGAACGCGATGGAGGGGCAGCACGAATCTTTCCGCACCCCGACGGGCACCTGCTTTGTGGGTGCCCCTGGGCTGCGGCACATCACCTGGTACTCGCCCTGCCGTGACCAGCTCATGGCCAGCGCTTACCGCGAGAGCTACTATGGTGAGGGAGGGTAGGTGGGTGGGTGGGGGCCGTGGGTGCCCCCCACCCCTGGTCGGTCTGACCCTGCCCTGTGCCCGCAGCCTATGACAAGCGCTACTGCGAGATCGGCTTCAGCGCGGCCGTCACCCGGGTGAGATGGGTGCCTGGGG